AGTAAAGGAAGGGAAAACCTGCATTTACTGAGCAGCCTGCACGCTGGGCACTGTGCCTGGGTGCCTTCTGCGCTATCTCATTTAAACACTGCAACAGATCTTTAAGAAAGGAACTTATTTCCATTTTATTTTTGTTTTGTTTTACTATTTTTGCAGTTGAAACACAGGTCTAGAACAGGTGAGTAAGTTGCTGGGGTTACAGGGCTATCAAGTGGTAGAGAGTCTATGTGAATTTAGGTTTGCTAGCTAAGAAAAGTTGTGCTTTTTAAAATACACCACCTAATGCATATACTGGGCTTTCTTCCTATGCCAGGGCTGCTTAGCCCCGACACCTGGACCTACCACTGCCACCATCACCATCGCCATCGCCATCACCATCACCATCAGTCACCACCACCACCACCACCACCATCATCACACCACTACCACCACCACCATCAGGAAGTCTTCCTATGTGGCTTCTCCTCCTTTTCCACCTCTCTTCCTTCCCTAAGAGCAGTTATCTTATAGGCAGTTTCAGGAGGGGGTGGTGCATTCAGTGGATTGAAGGTTTTTGGAAAACTGTTGGCGTCGTTGCCCTGTGCAGGTTGGGTGAAGGGATGGTAATGACCTTGAACTGGGCCAGGCCATTTCAGTGAGTGTCTAGGAGCTGGCTTTATTTTACGTAGCCCAGAGAGTAAAATTAGAGTACCGTTGGCCTCTGAGTACTGAGTGACAAGGCTGGAGTTAAGATCAGATGCCATCTACGGCCATGCCACATGCTCGATCTCGATCTCGTCTCATCTCGGAAGCTTAAGCAGGGTCGGGCTGGTTAGTCCTTGGATGGAAGACCACCCAGGAAGACCAGGTGCTGTAGGCGTTTAAAAAAAAACAAAACACGCCGGATGCCATCATTACCAGAAACAGGGAGCCGGTTCCTTAACTTGCTGGAATTTCAGTTTCCTCGTCTATTTAAATGAGAATAACGACACCTACATTATTAGGTCGTGACAACTGAATGAGAATATACATATGAAGGCTCCGGTGGGCTGTGAAACTGTGCAGAAATGCATTAAATGAGATGCCCCCATGTTAGGCATTTGGCACAGTACCTGGTATGCAGAAGGTGCTCAACAAATGTTACCTGATAATGATGATGATCATAATAGTATCAGTCTTCCTTATCCCTGTAGAGGGGTCAGTAAAGCTCCCTTATTATTTTTTCTTAGCTACTTCATTAGAGATCTCTGAGCGATCTGCATACGCATTCTATTTCTTCTTGGAGCAGGTAGTAAAAAGAACAAGAGCCCCAAAATATTGTGCACACAGAGAGCTGAGTCAAGGCTGGGGTTCCCCGAGGTCTCTGGGCCTCTAGGTTTCTCCTCCCCGCCGCTGGGACCTCCTCCTCTGTGGCTTCCAGGGACCGTGTGGCAGAGCTGGCTTCAGCCTAGAGCCTGGGCTGGCTTTGTTCTTTTTTCACGTTTTGGGGCGAGGAGGGTGGGGGTCCCTCTTGTAGCCGAACTAAAAGACCAAAACACCAGGCGAAAAGAAAGGAGGGGGGAAAAAAAGGAAGGAAAGCAAGCCGATAATTTCCTCGAAGGATAAACATCCGATTTTTTTTTCCTTGCCCAAAATAAACACGCTAGCCACAAGGAATTAAAAGCAGAAGAGGGGAGGATGTGTCTTGATCTGGGGCCGCTCTAGGAAGCTGACCTGCTATTTATCCCCAGCCTTGGGCCCCGACCGGAGCTGCCAATTACACTCTGGCCCTGGTGGGGTGGGGGCTGCGGGGACTGAGAGGTTCACATACATACACCCAGAAAGTCCCTTCTGAGGCTGCCTTCCATGACGCTGCAAACGAACACTTCCTTTTGCTTCTTCTTTTAGCTCTGCTGGGAAGCTTGTCTGGTGGGGTAGAAGGGAGTAAGGTGTTCCTACTGCCTGGGCTGGCATCGAGGTCCTTCTCAACAATCAGAACTTGGTACCCGTCACCTAGGAGGGCAGCTGAATCTGTCAACGGAGGGGGGAAGTTTGTCTAATTCCCTCCCCATTTCCCAGCTCATTGCATTCTTCAGATCCCAACATGAAAACCTTCCAACTAGTTAAGAGTGTGCTCAGCTGGGCTGAGGGGTTGGCCAAGGCCCCTCTGCCTTCCAGCTAATGGAGGCCTGGCTCTGAGAAGGTAATAACGTGGTGCTCATCTGCAGCCTGCCCCCTTTCATCTGGGGATCTCAAGGCACTTTGCACACATGAGTCACCAGCATTGCTGTATTCTAGCCAAGGTGGGGGTCATAACTCTTAGAGGGACACTAAACGGAAGTTGGGGGTACTGTGAGGAGTGGAGTTGGGGATGGGGAAGTTGAAGAAACAGGGTTTAGGCTGTGAACGAGACCTTAACAAAGAGGTGCCTCCAAGGGGTCCTTGGTGGGAAAGCCGAGAGATATGCAGAGGACACCCGAGGGAGGTAGATGTTGAAAATCCCTTTCTTGCAGACACCAAGGAATTTCTTCATAGCTTTCTAAACACATCGGTCAGATTACGTCCCCTCTCTCCCTCCATCCAATCTACTTATCATTCCATGATTTCCCATTGCTTTTAGGGCACAATCCAAACCTTCAGCGTGGTCGCAAGGCCTAACAGGTTCTAATCTTTGCTCATCTGCCCAGGTGGTTACACTACTGGCCTTTCATTTCCTGGAAGAGGCCATGCAAGCCCCTGCTAGCCGCAGGAGCTTGGTGGTGTTCACGCTCTTTGGCATGCTCTCCATCCCTGGACCCACTCACGATTAACCTCTACCCCACTTTTCAGCCCCGAAGTTAAGCATCGCTTCCTCAGAGAGGCCTTGCCTGCACCCCCTCCTCCATCACAAGGCAGGTAGGTCTCCTTTGCACCTTCAGAACACTTGTCACGCTTGCCGTAATTTTCTCGTGGTTATCTATTAATCTTCCCTTCCCCTCATGGGCTGTAAGTTCCATGAAGCAAGCCTCCTGTTTCATCTGTCCTGTTCACATGTGGATCACCAGCACCTAGCGGAAGGTCAGGCACATAGTACTTGCCGACACTGGTTGAATGAATGTTGGAGCTGGAAAGGCCCACGGTATAAACCAGCTGCCCCTACCTCTTCTTCCTACCTCAATTTCACAACTGAGGAAGAACTTCAGAGAGGTTGAGTGATTTGCTCAAGGTCACCCAGTGCCTCAGTGACAGTTTGGGGCTGGGATTGCCATCTCTTGCCTGTTCATCTATCCCACCCATGTTCCCCCAGTTTCCATTTACAGGCCCCAGTGCTGAACATCAACTGACTTCCTCTCCGTGCTGTTTGAAGGAGGACAGGCTAGGAAGCAAAACATCCAACCAGTGAGCCCTGGATGATTTTTTTTTTTTAATTTGGAAGAGAAGGGGTTTCATACCTAGACAGGTTTCCATACCCAGACTGTTGGTGGTGGGCAACGTGGACACACACCTGCAAGGTGAGGCCTGAGTTCTGGCAGGCTGTTATCACTGCTTGAGTCTGCTCTTGGGCTTACTGCTTTCTCTTCCAGGATCCTGGAAATCTGGCGAGTCCTGGTAATTTTGGGTCATGAACTGGGTGCTTGCTTCAGGTTCCCTCAGGCGGAGGCGGTTCAGAAATCTGTCCATTTTCCAAGAGGCTGGGAGGACAAACAGACCACGGGGAGGCAGTGAGAGTGAACTATGGACTTGAGAGCTGGCAGGATTGACAGGGAAGCCAGCTCTGGAGGAGCGGGGATAGCAGGTGATGAATTTGGCCATTGGGCTGAGGGGGACAGAGTACCTGGGGGTGCCTGTGGCTCTCAGCTGCAGGGACACCCCTGGATGTTAGTAGAGCAGCTGGGAAGGGGCTGCTCCCCAGAAGACAATGGGGACTGAAAGTCTGCACTGAGTCAAGATTGGCCTTTGCTCCCTCTCCCCACTGTCCTTTATTTAGCATAACTCTGCCTTTTCATCCACATGCAGAAAGTAAATGCCCAATCAGGTGGTCTGCCCACTCCCTCCACCCACCCGCTTCTCCTGCAGGCTCTTCTGACCCCATAGATGAGAACTCAGTGCTTCTTTTCTTCACACCTCTTCACCCCACCTCCTGGGGCTGAGATTGGCAGAAGTGTCTGTTATTTATTCAACCTCCTCCCCAGAAACCTCATCTTATCGGAGACCCCTTGCAATAGGGCTCCTTCCCTGGCTGTGGCAGAAGTCAAGGGGCAGGGCATTTGGCCGGGGCCTCTTCCCGCTGCCCTTGAGCACCTGGATCCTGGAGGGGAGTTGAGTGTGGGCACGACGTCCCCAGGCTGGGGCCTGGAGAAGCCCAGTCGGTGCCCAGGTCAGAGGGGCCTCCTTAGGGAGAGAAAACACAGGAGCAGCGGAGAAGGTACATCTTCTGGGGCAAGTGTGAACAGGCCTAGTAGCAGGGGAAGGAGGGCACAGCCCGGGGCACTGGGGAGAGGCCGAGGGAAGTGGTCAGAGGCATATTCCCACGCTCTCGTTTCCCAAACCCTGAGCTTCGGGCACCCTCAGTGGATGATTGCCAGATAAAGTAGGGACACTCAGTTCAACTGGAATTTCAGATAAACGACAAATAATTTGTTAGTGTAAGTGTGTTCCACATATTGCGTGGAGCATACGTACACTAACAAATTATTCCTTGTTTATCTGAAATTCAAATATAACTGGGCATCCTGTTTTTTTGTTTTTGTTTTTTGTTTTAATCTTCTTTGCCTAAATCTAGCAACCCTCTCTGGGTTGAGGGAGTGCACAGCGAAGACCTTGGCTGAAGCAGAGCTGGGCAGCGGCGGGCACAGCCTAGACCGATGGAGGACAAGAGAGAACAGGGTGAGTGGCTGGCAACCTGGACGTGTCATCAGAGCCGCCCGTTTACTTGCCTGTGGTCCCCTGTCTGCACCCACCACCACGAAGGCAGGTCCAGTGAGTATCCTGTACTCCACTTACTATCCCTCCCTCAAGAGGCGGTTTGCATTTCAAAGGTGTTCTCAAGAGGAGGACAATTTTTAATCCAAAGAAACAAAATAATAATGCTAATGCAAAAAGAATATACATATAGCATTAACACATTGATATAGTTCTTCCTATATGCGGGGCACAGGTAAGGAACTCCACGCATATTCATTCAATTAATCCTCATAAGATGAGACTATTTCTATCCTCAGTGCACAGATGGGGTTCTGGTGAGGTTGCTTCTTAGGGGACAGGTGGGGAAATGGGCCTCTGCAGGTTCCCTCAAATTCTGTCTAGCTCGGTGACTGCACGCTCAGATTGGGCTGGAGAACAGGAGTTTCAGGAGTTCTCTTGGAGGAAGGGTGGCCTGGCCCTGAGAGACTGTCCTCTCGGATAGGCCGCTGCTGGGCTGAGAGGGTGTGCCAGACACTGCGGGGTCTTTTCTTAGGAGGCCTGGCTATGGCCTCTGCACGGAGCCTGGCTGGTTGAAAAGGCCTGGCTATGGCCTCTGCATGACTCTGGGAAAGTGTGTGCATGTGCATGCATAGGTGTGTGCATGTGTAGATGCTTGTGGCCCCATGCATGCGTGCGTGTATGTGTGTGTGCCCATGCCAGAGGAAGGGCTCTGGGTGAACTGGTGTGTGGCAGGCATGGGGCCAAGGGGGCCAAGGGGGCCTTCCCCACCGAGTAGGACAGGAAGGAACCCGGTGGCAAGGAGGGAATTGAAACTCATCACGAGATCAGGGCAAGTGGCGGAAAGAAATCCCCTGCGCCCTGAGGGAGACCTCACTCCCCTCTCCGTCAGTGTGCCCTCCCCTAGCTCAGATGACTTCTCTTCTTGGAGCTTGAAAGGCCTTGGGGGGCCTCACAGCTCCTTCCCGGCCCCATTTCTGACAACCCTGTGGTTCCTTGGGCTTTTTGGGCAGCTCCTCAGACAAGCCTCTGTGTCCCTCAGGAGAGCAGGGACAGTGCTGCCAGCCCCTAGCCTCCCGCTGCCTCCTCCCCTGGCTTGGCCGTGACTCCTTACACCCCCCGTTTCCTGCCACAAAGGGCAAGAGGAACTGACCCTTTGCAAGTTCTAGAAGGAAGGGGGGTGACTCAGGCCCTTAGGCATGTGTGGAGAGAGATGGGGAGCTTGAAGGCTGTGGCTTCCGTGGTCACTGCGTGGAGGAAAGCCCCATCCTGTATGGCACTGCTGGTCCCATGAGCTGCAAGGAGGCTGCTGCCATACAGGAAGAAGGTGGTGCTGCTGTCTGTGCTCCAGCCACTCCCCTTGTACCTTGGGCCCACCCGGGATGGGCTCTTCCTGGGACAGGGCAGGAGTGGGGAGTGCACCTCAGAGGCCTCCATCTGGAGGGAGAAAGGAGAAGGGTGTCTGATGTTTGTCTCTTGAGCCACCCAGTGACTGGAACATAGCGGTCTGGGCTCCTCAGGATGGGGCTGCTGTGGATGACAGTCAGTCCAGAAACACGGTTCTCATCCTGCAAAATCAGACTCAGGCCTTCCTAGAGGCAATCCTCTCACCTATTGGTCAGTGCCGATAAGGAAGATGTTAGCAATGAGAGATGTTAGATGTTAGAGATGTTTTTGAATTGGGCCAAGGGGAGAGTTAGAGAACCTTATCTAAATCTATCAGGGGCTTCTGAGCCTCAGCTGTGTGTCTGATCTCTACAATCACAGAGGCTTGGAGGGGTGAATGACCCCCGTATTCGAGAACTGGGAGAGGAGCTCCAAGCTTTCAGAGACTCGTTGAGTTCCGGAGATTGCAATGTTTGGGAATGGCTCTGGGGCAGATTTTGACCGTCACTCTCTCCACCCTCAGCTTCCACTGTTTAGGAGCGGT